TTATTATTATTAACTTAGAGGAAATACACGAAGAACTAAGAGACCCGTCATACAAGCTCATATACGTTTTATTTAAAACTGTACTGTCTTGCTCTGTCTCTCTGTTTATTTGCCATTGAAAGCAAATATAATCTCCCAGTCGGCCCAAAATTCAACTTGGTATAAKGYGGGCTGTGAAGGATACACAGAACCTGTCCCTCAAGTTGGGGGAAAAGACAACGCATGTTGACCGCAATTGGAGTATAACCTTTGAATTTGGACAGCCTTTGGTGCTTTGCTGTGTGATGYAATCGGCCTTTAAATTCAGCCTTCGAAGGATGCAGCCCCTGTATTTGGACACAGCCAGCATGTAGGTCTATATCCAGTGTTTTGTTAAAACATGACAGATGGTTCMTTAGATATTTTACTAACAGACAAATGAACAMACACACAAGCAATTACATGACAGCCCACCTTTCACAGTGATAATGTAATCATAAAATCAATGAGAGAAAACAAAGTATTGATGATGTTCTAAACTGTAGAAGTTCTGACAGTTTTATGTCATTAAAGAGGTGAAAGTGAGTGATCTCTTCTCTCCTTATGACCCCTGACCTTTGTGTCTTTCAGGCAGCCCAGCTGAGATGTGCCAGCTTCAGGTCGGGGATGAGGTTCTGACGGTTAACGGGCACAAGGTGGCAGAAATGAGCTACACAGAGTGGAGGTCCTGCCTGGAGACGGCCTTGCAGGAGGGCAGCCTGGTCATGGATGTCCGCCGTCATGGCCAGAACAGTGAGTGATCTGTGTGTGTGTGTGTGTGTGTGTGTGTGTGTGTGTGTGTGACACAGACTAGAGAGACTGAAAGTGAACAAAACATTTAACGGTTACATTCCTGTACTGACAGTGCTGCTTAAGCTTTGTGCGTTGCTAAACGGTTTTGACATTTTAAATTGGTCGTAACTATTGTGAAGTCATCCATGAATAATCTCATGACAGCTGAATGATGAAAGACCTGTAAATTTCTCTTGTCTTGTTGGGTGAGGGGAAGGATGGTGCTGTTTTGGYGTCTGTGGGGTTTTTGTTGCCAGTTTTATCAGTTCTGCAGTTCTTTTTATTTTATTGCTGGTTTCTCTACTTTATTGACATTCATTTTTCTATTTCTGCAGTGTTTTCTTGTAAAGGACTAACCCTGCTCAGGTCTATGGTGTTATGATTTCCAACAGCATCAGTGTTGTTTAAGAAAAGTAAAAACTAGTCAGTGTAGTTTACTGAAACAGCATAAAAGGTTCAGTGAAGTTCAAAGGTTTTTACATGAAAGGCTGTTTGGGTTTAATGAAAGCTTTAATGGGTTGCATGGCCGGGGAAGGTGGTTTCTCTGTCACCGCCTGCTGCTGCAATAACACCATAACACCCTTCTCTTCCAGTGGTCTGTGGGTAAACTGTTTCAAACACTGAGGCTTACATGAACAAAAGATTCAAATACAGATTTATGTGTAAACACGCAATCTGTTTTTCTGCCCGTTGCATTTACTGTATGCAGACTGGGACATAGACCAACCTTCCCTGCCATTTAAAAGTCATAAGACCATCAATCTGACCAGTACGGATCATCCGATACTTCTAGGTTCTCCGGAAACAAAAACCATCAAGCCCAGTCTGGATTTCACCTCACGCACTTTGACAGAAACGGTGCCAGCCAAGGAGAACCCCACTCATTCTGTTGTGGTAAGTACATGGATGAATTTTTATTCCAGTGTTGTTTCCTGGGACTTCTAGTGTTAAGGAGACTCTGTAATGAGTACTGACCCTGCAACGTTTCCCTGCAGGATGTGGCTTCAAACAGAGTTAATGGGAATCTCCAAGAGGAACCAGTGACCATGAGGAATAAAGGTAAAGGGCAGTCAGAAAGGTCGTAATATTGATTCTCGTGATTATTTCTGGTCATAGTTTTAAAGCCCATCAGTGTTGGTGTCAGTTTGATATACAGTAGAAGTAAAATATGAAATAAATGTATGCCACTCACTGTGATACACCAGTACTTTGAGAATTAAAATAAACAATGTCAACAATTCTAGTTTTATAATACGATAAAAAAATGCTGTCTGCTTAAGTTAGACTTTTTTTCTTTCTTGTCTTATTTTATCCTGTTTTCTTTTTTTCTCATGTAGAGTCAGAACCATTATCTTTGAAAAACTTAAAACGGCGATCAGAGTTTTTTGAACAAGGTAAAAAAGAGTCGACTGAAGGCATGTGGGTGGTACTTATTAATAACTTGTACGTGTTCTGGTGACTATTTTCTCTGCTTTCGTCTTGCTGAATTCTTCAGCTCGCCCAGTAGGAACTGCATGTTGCTCACAGCATTGTGTTCAGTTGATAAACCTTTTTTATCAATTGATTTAACATTATGAGAATTAAGATGGACGCCATTTAAAGGCCACATCTTTTTTTTTTGTTTTGTTTTAATCTGTCTGATGCCGAAGCTTAAACCCTTGTGCTGTGCCCCTTCCGTCCTTCAGGTGGCTCAGAGTCCAGTGTCAGTGCGCTGGTCTTCCTCTGTGGTAAACAGGGTTCAGTTTGCAATGACGTTCTCACCTTTGCTTGTTACAGCCTGAGATTCTGGCATGCTGCTTTAGTAATAATGTACTTTATTGCACTTTGAAGGAATGTTTACAGGAACATGTAAAAGCCCCACATTCTGCTCTGAAATGCTGCAGCTTGACATTATTTCAGTTCACCAACCACAAAAGCAATTTTTTTTTTCAAATCCTGTTGTGTTTGTGGTAATATTGAATGATGTCCAAGCTTAACACATGGCTACACTTTTCACTTTGCTGCGCATGAACTGAAATGTTTTTCAGACACACTTATTGAAGCATCCTTTAGCCTTTCAAGATCAGCTGTTCTGTGTTTATGACGTCTCTGCATGCATGTCGCTGATTTCAGCTTATGTGATTGTGTCTTCACAATCAATTTATGGATTTTCCTCTCAGAAGTATTGGGATTACATTGGGTGTAAATGTCAACATGCTTGTGATCCACTATGTTGAGGATCAATAAATCCCAAAGTAAATTTTGACCTTTGGCGCTTAAGGCTTGCTGAAAACATCAATTACTGTTACAGTTTGACATTTAATTAAAAAATAAATCATCTCTGTGGTTTGAAAGGTTGAGTTAGACCTTGATGTTTCTGTAGTCTGAAACCTGAGGGTTAAATTTTATTTACATGCTGAGCTATTCTGCCTGCATGTGTCACAGGTACTGATTGAGTTTTCTTTTTCCAGGAGGATCAGAGTCTGCGGTGCCAGATGTGAGTAATGTTGATTTATTTGCAAAATGTTTGCTGTTTAACCATGACCACATCAGCAAAAACAGATTCGAATGGTAGTTATTACAACACCTAGAACCATTAATCAAATCAGCCTCTCAAATGAGCCAGTCTGAGAAAAGTCTTCTTAAGCCGGACAAAAGCTGAAGTCTAAATAAAAATCATGAAAATTATGCAAATTATTTCAACATTGTTTGCCAGTCATATGTCCAGATCTTTAGTCAGGTTAAGTTTTGTAGGCTATATTAGCTTTATTATTTTTTTCTAATTTTGTGGGTCAATAATTTCCTTTTGTTGTCTTGCCTTTTACTCAACATTTTGATTAAAATATATGGTTTAGGTTTGAAAAAGACTGTGTGGACCTAATAATGCATCTGTTTAGTAGCAGTTATTTTTATGCACTGCTTTTCTTGATTGCAATCATCAACAACGCACCTGATTGCAGGAAGTTGCAGATTTTGTTTTGTTGCTTCTGAAGAATTTCAAGTTGGCAAAAATTTTCAGCCCAGAAATGAGACTGAAGTGAATTTCATAAAAGGTAGATGTCTCGATGAAGATTATTACTAACTTGAAGCTATTAGCTTCCGAGAACCTCAGAAACGAGTTTTAATTCAAGTCCCCTTAAGGTTTTTGGATGTCTGTGTACATCTAAAGAAATCAGAATGACATTTATTTCCAGCTGTTGAAAATACCCATTTGGTATTTTTTAAATTTTATTTTATAAACTCAGAACCTTTTTGTTTCAGTGGTTATTTCTTTCCTCAGATACCAGTTCCTGCTATCACTCCGTCCTCGAGCCGCTGGTCCTGGGACCCGGAGGAAGAGCGCAAAAGACAAGAGAAATGGCAGAAGGAACAAGAGCGCCTCCTTCAGGTATATAGTCAAGATAGATCACACTAACATTCGCATGCCTTCTCCATAAGAGCTATAAGCTTTGTGTTGCTGTTATCACATGATCACTAAAGCATATTAAACTAGAATATGAAATAGACAGAATTAACAGCTTAACAATTAAACAGTCTAGTCAGGTTTTACATGTTAGAAATTTGCTCTTGCAAAGAAATTACAAGATTTCTATACCATGCGATATCAGACATTGTGTTTCGTTAGTACGGTTGCGTGACAGAAATTGCACATTTTTCTTCTCTTACCCTCGCTGAGACCAAGTCTCGTGCTTTACTCCCAGGCAGAATGTCTGTCATGCAGGAAATGCTCCAGGTATAATGTGATTGGTCAGAAGGTTTTTTTCCTCCCCTGAGAGGATCAGCTGACCGAGGCAAGGTTATCAGAAAATGCAGTTGTCTTTACAGCTGTTCCAGCAAAACTTGAAATGATGGTCAAAGGACTTGTTGAAAATAGAACGATTTCTGTGCATGTAGGAGACAGTCTGGAGACACAGGCGGCTCTCTTTAGCCTCGTCCGGACAACGTAGGGACATGCTCCTGCATTGCTGATCACAAATGGTCTCTTCGTGACAAATCTGCAAAATGTTACTTCTCCTTGGTCAACAAAAGAAATACCCAATCCTTTTTCTCCATCAACCAAAAATAAACTTAGCTGACTTTTAGGTGCTTAAAGTGTCCCTCATTAATCTGTTATATTTTTTACACAATAAAAGTTAGAAGAATCTGTTCAAATAGTTTTCCTGGGATGTTTTTTTCTGGATTGACATCAAAAAGAGCAAAGCAGATTGTTGTACTGAGAGGGTTTGTTAACTTGATCAGATTTCCTCCCTTCTGGATTAACCTGATTTCACAATCTGCCTGGCAAACCTCTCTGATGAGCTTTAGCAAATGTTTGTTTATTTTCAGCCAACATAAATGTGATTAGAATTTCAGAAAGATGTTAAATCTCAAAGACTTTTAAAATGTTTTTTTATGTATTATGTGTTTCTTTTTAAGGTAAAATGGACAATGCATGACTGTATGCATGATGTACAATGGCTTTTCTCTTCAGGAAAAATATAAGCGTGATCAGGAGAAGCTGCAGGAGGAATGGCTCAAAGCTCAGCAGGACATTGCCGCAAGTGGGGCTCAACAAGAGGTAAGAAAAGCATTTTATTTCATGTTGCATGTGACCTAATATTGGAAATATTGTCTGAGGAGTGCTAAAAGGTAGCAATTAGTCATGACTCACTGCTCAAATTCATCCAAATGTATCCAAAGAGCCTTGATATTTAAATGTTATAATTAAGCTGTGATTATGTGGCCACACAATCCTGAATCTGACTTTTAAAAAAAACAAGAGCAGAGTGAAGTCCGGTCATCTGGAAATCTACACATTAAATGGCTTTGCTCAGAAAATAAAACAGAATTACAAAAAACTGTCTGGTTTGTAGGTGATTTAGAGCTGATGCCATTTCACTAAACGTCATTGTGTTTAAACGCTTCCTCCTTTCTGTTCTGCTTCTCACCGGCCATCTCCAGGTGAACAGCCACAACATGAGCCCACGCGTGCCCCCGTCTTCTGCCCACCATCCCACTCCTCCTCTGTGGGAAGAGGAGGAAAGGAAGAGGAGGGTGGAGCAGGAGCGCCAAAGGCAGGCCGAGGAGAGGAGAAAGAGGGAGGAGGAGGAGCGGCAGCTGCAGCGGCTCCAAGAGGAGAGGAAGAGGAGAGAGATGCAGGAGGAGGAGGAAAGGATGAGGATGGAGGAGGCCGAAAGGAGGAGGGTGAAGGAGGAGGAGGAAAGGAGGAGGGTGGAGGAGGAGAAAAGGAGGAGAATTGAGGAGGAAAGGATGAGGATGGAGGAGGAGAAAAGGAAGCAAATTGAGGAGGAAAGGAAGAGGATGGAGGAGGAGTTGCGATGGCAAAGGAAGAGAGAGGAGGAACGGGAGGAGGAGAGGAGGCGACAGGAAGCTGTTGAGCAGCAGCGAAGAGAGCGAGCCTTGGAGCAGCAGTGGTCAGTAGAGCCACGTTTCCTCCTCTGCTGCCTTTAACACCTCTGTTGTCCTACATGACCATCAAACTAACATGTTACTGTTTGTGTTTTAACATAAAGCATCAAATGCATTCACTTTCCCTCCTCTAATCATCCCACCTGGGTTTCTGTTTGCTACGTGGATTACGTAGGAGTTCTAAGAGAAATGACCTGCATAAATCTTTTTAAGCAATGGTTCAAATCTTTTGATAACATGTGGAAATCTAGGAAAAATTAACTTATTGATTGTTGTAAACAGTTCTTTGAATGACCTCATTGGTTTAATTTTGACCAGGTTGAAGAGCTAACGGCTAGCTCAGTGGTTCCCATCCCTTGCCCTTGTGGCCCTCTATCCTGCATGTTTCAGTTGTTTCTCTGCTCTTCAGCAAGTCTTCAGATTCTTCAGAAGCCTGTTAATTACTCATTCATACAAAACAGGTGGGTCAAAGCAGGAAACGTAAAACAGGCAGGATAGTGGGACTCAAGGACATGGGTTGGGAACTACTGGGCTAGCTGACCAGGGCAAATGTGGATAGCTGTCATATTAAAACAGCTAATATCTATGATGCCAATCACTTTTTATTAATAATAAATTATTATGAAAACTCAACAATCAAAAAGGTAAATCAACTAATATCATTATTTAGAAAACAAAATAGACAATTTTGAAATTTAATCCCTGAAATGTTTTTTAGAATGAGAAAGAGAGGCCAACTGTTTTAAAATGAGAAGCTTTGTCATTAAAGGGGCAATATCATGTAAAATCAACTTTTTTGAGTTTTATATCACTCATAAAAACATGCTCAAAGCCTTGCTTTGACTCGTTCATGCATGTTTGAGAAATCCTGCAGCGTTTTTAGGAAGCCATGCTGAGGAGCAAAATGACAGGTGGGGACCAGAAACACCTTTTGGGACCAGAAACACCCCTGGGACGTGTCTTTAAACTGAACTTCTTCATGGCAGAGCCCCCCCCCCCGCACACACACACACCCATGACTCCTGCAGGCTCTCGGGTGAAAGTGAAAGTGAAACTTAAACTGTCTGCTAAGCTCCACTACTTCTCACTCAGTGAAGCTCTTTTCAGATTCAAAATACCTTTTGAGGAAATGTATTTTCAGATGCCAAGTAAACTGCATCATAGCAGCCCCCTCCTCCCCCATAAGCGGGAGGTGGTTCTTAAAGAGACAGAGGCCAATTTCAAGGCGTTTAGAAGAGGAGGTGATGAGAAGATAAGTTTATTTTCTATTTAAACATAAAAACAGCATTTTAATAACAACTAAAGGTGACATAGATACTTTATTATGGTACAGTATTTAAATGTACTGTATGCCTGAAACACATAATATTGCCCCTTTAAAGGTTTGCAATCAACCTGTACTTTTTCTTTCTTGTATTTTTCAATGAAGATAGTTGCCTTTTTTTACAGGACAAGATCCAAGTCAACCTCTCAGCTTGATGAAGAAGACCAACCAGCGAGGAGAGGTCAGTATCTTTTAATGTATTGTAAGAAATACGTGTTTTAATATCGGCTGAAATCGGATGAAAACACAAGTGTTAAATAAAATGATCTGTGATAGGAAATAATGTCATACAACACCAGAATTCTGGAGAGGGGGTTTATTAAGCCAAGGACTGACAAGTCAAAACCACACACTGAATAAAAAACCAGGAAGTTCCCTTATAAATACAGTCCAGAAATCTTCAATGCCTGAGTTTGCCCCCTGCTGGCCTACGGCTGAATCCCAGGCATTCAGGCAAACAATCTTCATTCTTATGTAATTACAGCTTTAAAAAATATGTGTTGTTTAATGATTCGGACATGTATCTACTCTATTTCAATTAACACATAATAGATAACCATAACAATGTTATAATCAGACACCCTTATATACACTGGTGTTGTTTCTGGCATCAGTACTGATCTGTAATAATTATAAATTTCTTCAGTATATTGTTGTTTGGCTCCATGTCGACATGTTGTTGCACAAATTTTGTGTATGCGGGCTGTACCTCGCTGTAGGTGCACATATGCAGCACAGAGGTACGTCTCCATGGCTGCTGAAAGACAAGCTGACGATTGCACGAGACAGGCGAAGCCAGAGTAAGAATGCCGTGATGGAGCCGGATTGGAGAAACAACACGAACGCCTTGAGATACGAGCCAGAGCTAGGTGGGCTTCCCCTCTGAAGCACCTGGGTCTATTCAGTTAATTAGTCGGCGGTGTTTCACAAAATCAAAACTCTCAGCTGTTTGATTTGCAGCTGACCAGCCGAATGAGGAATTAATCAGGTGGCTGACCGTGAAATGACTGTAATTCATTGATTGCAGTGAAGTTCTTGTCGGATCAATGCTGTCTTTTGTCCTGCATGATTTAATTTCATTTTGCAGTCAAAATGAGCAAACACAAGTACATCCCTCTAATTATATTTCAGTTTTTTTGTTTGTTTTAACGTAATTGCTGAATTACTAAGTATTAATTTTACTAAATGTAAGTATACCAAGTGTTTTGTTGTTTTTCTGTCCTCCCTGGATGTAGTGTCAGGAGCCGGAGTCACTGACAGGAAGGGTCAGCAGCAGCTGCCCTTGTCGCAGGCCGAGCTGGAGCGTCAGCAGATCCTGAGGGAGATGAAGAAGACGACGTCGCTGCTTACAGACAACAGCTGGATCCGTCAGCGCTCCGCCAGCACAGTCACCAACAGGGAGGGCGACATGCCACCCATGCGCAGGTACAGAGATCTCCTTAGGTTTCACTTCCTGTTTTTTTTTTTATTTTGTTTTTATTCCAACTAACATTCTGGGTACAAAAACAAAGCAATTTACCAGCCAGGCTACCACACTGTCTCTTTTGGTGAACTTGTAAAAGTCTAATAATAAAAACAGTTGGTAAGCCAGGTGGTTAATTGCTTGAACTAACGTGCTAACATTGGTGTGGGTGCTTTGCAGAGGTGAGTCTCTTGACAACCTGGATGCCTCCTCAAACTCCTGGCACTCAACACGGACACCCAGGAGCAACTCTTTTGCCCAAAACTACTCTCGACCTCAGTCTGCTCTTTATGGCAACTCTTCTTTTTACACCGGTGGGTCAGGGGCCCAGCGGCCCGCTTCTGTCACTCTGCCTTCCTCTTATTCCATGGGCTCCCTCAGAGTCGGGTCAGGAACCCACTCGTCTCCTTGGTCCCAGCAGTCCCTGTCCACTCTGTCAACAACCTCTCCAGACCCCATAACTGAGGCAGGTGGTCCTCAGCAGAACAGCAGGTAAAACTAACAATTAACCACGTTGCTGCTTCTAACCCATCACTGGTAATCTTTACATCTCAACATGGAGAGTGGCTTTAAAAGGCATTTTTCTTCTTTTGTTTATGGTGTTTTAGTTTGTGTGACCTTTTTTATATGTTTCTGCCAAAATTTTGTTGTGAAAAAGTTTGCATCAAATAGGCATTTATATTTGTTCTCCATGAATTTCATTCTTGTTGGATTTAAAAGTGTTTTATAAATCTCACTTCAAACAGTTTAGTGTTGTAATCTCAGCACCAGCTAATCCACCTTCAAAGTATCAAACCAGAACTTATCATGAGTTTCCAGAAAACCAGTTCAGTTGTGTGTACCCCAGTCTGATCCAGTCTTTTGTGTGTGTGTGTGTGTGTGTGTGTGTGTGTGTGTGTGTGTGTGTGTGTGTGTGTGTGTGTGTGTGTG